CCTAACCCTAACCCTAACCCTAACCCTAACCCTAACCCTAACCCTAACCCTAACCCTAACCCTAACCCTAACCCTAACCCTAACCCTAACCCTACGTGTGGTGTACACTGTTCTGCTTCTTGTGCGTGGTTGTGCACATGGATCGGCGCATTTCTGCTCGCCCTACCCCGTTGTCCTTCGCTTCTTCTCCCCCTTCACCTTACCTCCACTGGCGCAATCTTTGGGTCGTAATTGCGTCCGTTAACCATCTGGATATTTGCGACCTTGAAGTCGCTAGTTCACAGTGTCATGTACACTTGGTATGCGCTAACGTCGCTTAAGGTGCCTCTTTCGAGAAGCCTCAAGCAGCTCATTACGACAATGCACATCACGCAGCTCTTCGTGGGCTTCTGGGTAGCGTGCTCGTACCTCTTCATTATGTACCGCCCGTTGGCTTCCCAGATCACGAGGTCACCTCCATCGGCACATTACTTGCAGGATTTCTGGCTTTCATTGACACTGGAGCAGCGTACAATACTACATCCGTAGTGGTCAAGAAGAGGCTCTATGGCATTCCCGAAGCCATTCAAAGCGCCATTGCTGCTTCGCTAGACTCAAACGGCCGCGCAGCTTGTTTAGCATCAACAGGACAGGCCTTCGGCATAGCTCTCAATTGCATGTACCTCGTACTACTGATTGAATTTTTTTTGTAAGTTCTATATCTCTTCGTACCTCAACAGCGTCACGGAGAAGGCAAGGGTAGCAAAGGCGGCACAATAGGCCGAGTGCCCATCCAAGACTTCACTTATCATCTTACCACCTTCACTCCTCTCGATTCCATATACACGCAGCCATACACACATCCCCTCGCCAGACACCCATTCTCCATCCTCTCTTATCATGTAGCATGCGTATCTAGACTTGGTACAAGTCCGCTCTGTGCAGCATGGCCTACCGAATAAGCAAGTGCGTTCTCTTTCTGTTGCTCCAACTCCGAGCTTTCCTGCGCGCCTGCATCCAGGTCGAAGATCTTCCAACCAGCCCGCTATCAAGTACACGCCAGCCTGCGCCTCTCATCTACCAGGTGTTTGCTGGGGGTAACCAAGCGTACACTGTGGGAGGGTTATTGTTGTTAAGCCTGCGCTCATTGAAGATAATCTCTGCGGACGGGCTGAAGGCACGTACCTGCAGTTCCGAGGCTCCATGGTCTCCGATGGCTCCCAAAAACCCGAACGTGATCGGTGTGGCTTGGCAATGGCAAATTCGGGCAACAAGTATGCGCAACGGAAAACGGGTTGCAAGGCAGACATGAGCTTTGTGTACCGGCACGTGCGAGCCACACACGCAGCTACCTCGATCCCGGTTTCCGCCTTGTCAGGCTCGTTCTGATCTCGCGCGACTGCTCTACGGGCGTGCAGGCCTACCAGTTCGACTTGCAAGCATACGCCAAGGGTCTCTATGTCGTGTTGCATGACGCTGCGTATCATGACGATCAGATTGACCACAACATCGCACGCCTCAAAGCGCCACGTCGCACCACCTTCACGGTGAGACTTTCGGTCGGCTGTCTCGTTGCGGCCCCATACGCACTGCACTAACCTTACTGGTTGCGTGAGGAGCCCATGAGCGAGTTTTGAGATCCCCGTCGACGGCATCGATGGCGTGTCCGATCTTCGAATACTCGCGCGTCAACGTACGCAGCCTATGGCTCTTGCCCCAGATGATACGGTAACATGTATGGCGGTCTGGGTCGCTTTGAGTTCATTGTACTACACAGACCCTTGCCTCGAAAACGACACGTTTGGGGTTAGGGTCAATAAGCCGGCTACCACGTTGACGCGGCGGGGGGTGAGCGAAAATCGTAAACTACCACTCGATCCGTCCCGTCCTATATCCCACATTGCTATACCCTACAATTTTTGCCAAAATGTGTATTCGTTGTGCTATCCTTGTTTGAAATTGAATGTGTTCATGAGAGGCACTACGACAGAGAAAATACCACGACAGCAAGATGGGTTCGCAATAATGGGTTGGTCGACGTGGTTGTGCGACATTAAAATGGTGATGGCGACATACTTGTTTGACTGTAAACGAGCGGGGATCCATTTCTCGCAATGTCAATATTTTTGCGAAGAGTTCCCATGTTCTGACTGCATTCAGACGAGAGCAGCAACACGAATACGAATAACCTCCTCACCGACCCCAAAAGGTCTTTTCGAATGCGGACTTGGCACCCCTGTAGACTTGCTCGATACTGAATGCACGAAGCCAGTTTAGCATGCTCAGCAGGATATTTTTGGCAAGAAACGAAGGAGGCGCATCTGAATCTGCTGTTAGAGATCGCAGGTTTCCGGGGATAGGCTTTGCCAAATGATAGTTCTCAGGCCTACTATAGTGATGCATCAGCATCCGTACGGCTTAGAGCATCCGAGAACAAAAGTCTGAGCTCATCAGCGTGGGAACACATTTCGACCTCAGCATCAAGGGTCAACTTTTGTGGCTTTCGCAGCGCTTTGGCGGCCCTTGTCCGGAAGTGCTCACAATCATCTGGGAAACCCCGAGACGTGCCCCCATTGTCAGCACCAAGTCAACCAGATGCCACAGATGCCAATTGGAAATGCTTATTGGACGAGAAGGTTGTGTAATGACCTGTTGTTGCCTTTTAGCGAGCGGGCTGCTGAGCTAGATGCTTGGAATCCCGCGGCGGAAGAATCCGGAGCTTTTGCCGAGCACGTGGTTGGGCATGTGGCAGTGCTTGTTCAGTCACCATCGATGTAGATCGAATTTTGGAGACGAGTTCGGCTACTTATCGAACTGCTTCCAAGCCATCGTCCCTTGCATCGCCAAGCCAGGCGCAGTATAGTAATGAGCAGTGGAAGAGACAAACACGTCACCCGTATTCCTTTGGCATCGCTCTGAGAAGCAGGGGAGTAGGGCGGCCTCTGTGAGGGCACTGAGTCCAACGCTTCTGCCTACGTACACATATTCATGAACGCCGCAGCCTTGAATATGACCAGCTCACTTGACCCAATTGCTGCAGAGCAGTTGAAGGAGCGTCGGAACAGACTGCGTGCTTTTAGAAGTCTGGTTGCGCAGTCGAGCCTTGGAGTGCAAAGGCCTGCTAACCCTGACGTTTCTCGCTCACTTGCCACTCTCGACTCGGTGCATCGGAAACCTCGATATCACATACCTTTTTGCGAGGGGGATCTGCAGTGAAACTTCGAGCTACGATCGTATGAAGGTGGGTGAGCGCAAAGAACCCTCATGCCGTGCTATTGCGAGTAGCTCAAATGAAGCTGGGGTGGACGATTTGGTGGAGTCGCAATTGTACTCTGATGCATCCATGTCTTTGCGCTCATGTTACTGCCCTTTGCATCGCACCTGTCGCCAGATTGGTTTATGCTCATCATGCTGGCTCCCTCCCTGGTATCGTTGAACTTGAAGGACCACGAGAGCAAAGTTAGGTACAATGCGCTAGGGTATGCCTCATCTGAGACAATGCTTCCGTTTCCTCAGCAGGCTTCAGCAAAGCATCAAGTAGCTAGAAGTGGCCCGCGTCCCATTGCATGCAAGGCGCTCGGTCGACGCTCGGCCAAGCGCTCGATCGACTCTCACCAGTCATCCACTTCAGCACATCATCTGTCCATGGAGCGCACCTCGGGTATGAACGGGAGAGGGCGTGCATGTGCATACAAGAACGTATAGGCATAGGTAGATTGCCACTTTCAAGGCTGCACCTACCGCACTCCGTGTGCGGAATAGCAGTGCGCGCTTACGGGCTTGCCGGGCGAGCGGGGCAGAGCCTGCGGTGGCACATGTCTCCATGATCGCCTCAGCCTTGGAGCATCCCGTGAGATCACACCCAATTTCAAAATGAAGGTTGAAGTCAGTCTGGGACAGTCTAGGTGTGGTACAAATGGAAGGTGAAATGAGCTTGATTTCAGGTCAGGGCCCGCAGCCACAACTTGTGATAGCTTTGAACTTCATGCCCCATACAACACCACTTGACGGGACACTATCAACCAAGGCCTGCATTGGCCTGCATCAGCTATAGCGTGAGCGGCAACCTTCTGGACTCTGACATGCATTAAGTGCTACAAAACTGCGGTATCAACAGCTATCGACTCCCAGGTTGGGAGCTGCTAATAAGTTGCCTCGTTTCTGCAACCACTCAACTGTACCTTTCCTCATTACGCCCTCGACCCGAGAAAGATTGAGCAGGTTTGCATCAGTTCTGTTGCTTGACATTGTGGGCTAGCCCAATCTGTTTCTTTGGTCTCTTGGATGAATAAAGGTTTGGACATCTGCGCAGATCGACGCAATACCAACCTACCTTCTTTTCGCAGACATGGCCACCTTCTGGCAGCCTCCCTCCCACTCTTCTTCTGATTCTAGCATGCTCCTTGCCTCTCTTCCATCACAGCCTGATCAACTTGCGTCTCAACGTCCACCCAAGCCACCTAAGCGCACTTCCAGCGACACGCGCGCTCGCAACGACTGCGACATCATGCCAACTCAGTCACAACCTTCTGGAATGCCAGCTATCGGCGAGATTGACCTTGCTGACGCACACCGTCCCGGAGACATGTTGCTTGGAGGTCGAAAGCAGCTTGAGAAGGATGAGATTTACCGCAAGCTGTATGACCTGAAGCTGCACAGCAAAGGTAAGTGACGCCGATGGGTGAGAACGTAGCCAAGGCAATGAGCACGCCTAAATGGAAGCTAGCTTGACAAGACTTCCCCAAACTTATAGAAGCACTGTCTGGATCTGGTTATGAGAGCACAATATCTCGTGAGAATGGCGTCGGCGAAACGTCGGGCTCGCAGGTGAGTGTATGACAGCATGTATAGGCTGGGAGCTGAGGCCTGCCAGGAGGGTTGCTTCAGAGACTGATCAGTCGATGCGTTCAGCACAAGGATCTTCGTGCTCTTGGACTCAATGGAGTGGCCAGCAAGGAGGACTCAGCTTCAAGCCAGGAAGACTCCTCGATCGAAACCGACGAAACACACCTACGACCTACTCCTGGTTCAACCCAGCCTCAGCGTCCAACAAGAGAGCCTAAAATCAAGCCTGGCGAAACCGCGAGGATCCGAGAACGAAGCATTGGAAACGTTGACGATCACGAAACTACTGCCAGGTTCGATCCCAACGGTTTCGCTCTACCTCCCATGCCCAGGGACAGATCGCTTCCCTCCTACACGCCCAGTCAGGGCATGACCAATGAGTCCTTGCTGGCAGCACTCCAGCTCCAACATCAGCACCTCTTGCTAGAGCAGCAGAAGAACCAGCAGCTTCTCAAGGAGCAGCAGGTACCTACTTCACAGTATCACCACCCACAGACGCATTCCCTGGCTTCGGGGTATTATGGCACGCGCAACGGCTTGGCCCACAGCCCTATTCAGCAATTCGCCCCTCACACACCACAGCTCCCACCACTCCCTTCATTGTTCGGGGCTCCCCAAGGGCTCATGATGCGAGGAAACTCCAGCTACGCCAGCAGTATCAAGTCCACCAGCGAAAACAACAACGACACTACTCAGCCTCACAACTTCCCGGATCTTCACAACTTACCCGTCGGAGCACAGACCTCGTTTCCCAACTCGCATGTCCGACGTGACTTTGAGTTCAGTCTCAAGAAGCTCATGGACATCAACGTCTTCGAGGAGCTACTAGGTGGGTAAAAGCATTTGGCACGATTGCGTCTACATCGCTGACACATAATTGAGCAGACGATCCCATGGGTCGCTTCAGGTTCAGACAATGGCTGCAACAGTCCCGCGGCTCGGCTACTGAGCTCGCCTCACTTAACTTTGCTACCGATGTGCGCTGCTACGAAGAGCTGCTGCGTCATGTCAGAGCCATAGCGCTGGGTCTTCACAACCAGTATCTCGCACCTGGCGCTTCGTGCGAGCTTCCGGTCAGCTCCATGGAGGCACGCGCCAAAACACTAGAAAGTCTCAGGGATCTTCTCGAGATTCGTGCTACCTTCGACGCAGTATCCAAAGGCCTCATCCATGACCTGTATCACAACGTATGGCCAGCATTCATTCGTACGAAGATTACGGAGCACGCCAAGGTGAGTGAAGGATTCATTGACTTACTCGCGATTAGCGCAGATGCGCATAGTCTCTCTAAATTCTGCGATTTTCAGAGCACGCGCTGATCCGATGCGCTCCCCCAGGTCCGCCTCGCATCGTGTGTCTCGCCACAGGACCGCGGCGACATTGGCGAAGTTTTCTGTCTTACCAACCCACGTCTGCCCGATGCGCCCATCGTACTCTGCTCGGACGGCTTCTGTAAGCTCACTGGCTATAGTCGTGAGCAGATTATCGCGCGCAACTGTCGCTTCCTTCAGGTAAGCTACAGAAGCCGAGCTTTGCCAGCTGTTCGCCCTTGTTAATTTCCTGCTTTTCTCCGACCCAGGGCCCTGCCACGAATCCAGAGGCTATTCAGAAGCTACGCGATGCCCTCAACGCTGCCAAGCCCTGCTGTGAGCTTCTACTGAACTACCGTCGAGATGTGAGGATCCCATTCGAACGCTTTAGTTATGCAGCCCCACTCACCATTTCCTCATGTCTCCTTAGGGTACACCTTTCTGGAACATGCTGTCGTGAGTAGCTTAAAGAGAAAGTATGCAGTTCGAATCTGACTGTTCTCTCCTCCCTGTCTCCTTCAGCATGATCCCACTTCTCTCTGCATCGGGAGAGGTCGACTATTTCCTTGGCGGACAGATCGAGGTGAGAAGCCTACGCTCAGACCCCAATCCGCTCAAAGGCTGACCCTAATCATTCCTACCCTCTAAGGTCAGCGGTGCACTCAGTTCGAAGTCTAACCTAGGCTTCCTCATTGGTGGTGCATCAGGCGATGAAAATCTCGCGAGAACAGAGGATGGATTCGCTGAAGCAATGGGAGCTGCTGCGTTGTGAGTCTTGCGTCGAAAGATCCGTAGAGTTGAGCTCATACTTCTCCTAACGCGCCCTCAGACGTGGAGAGGCTACCTACGAGTTGAGCGACGAGGTGACTGCTGCTGCTGCTCGTGAGCTCGGTGTCGACCCTACACACTTAGCTGGCATCAACGTCCAAGTCCGCGCGAGTGCCGGTAACACTCGAGGTAAGAAGGCAGCTGGCCAGCGCGAGGACTTATCAGGCAACACTGTGCTCGGTCCAAATGGCGCTATCGGTTCTCTAGGTTCCCAGACTCCTTCGAAGAGCTCCCTCTCTCGGTGAGTTGATAGTGTTGAAGCTGTGGCTACGAGCAACATGAATTGACGCTGTTCTCTTCGCGCACCTCCTCAGCATGAAAGCCAAGCTCTTTGGCAGTAACAAGCACATTCGAGCATATGATAACTTCTCGCAGCGCATTGGAGGAGCCGAGACTCAGTTCACGGAGGTGCTCGGCATTGACGAGCAGATGCAGCGCTTCGAGTGAGTACTGCTTGAGCCGACGCGAGTATTCAGCTTACCGATAAGCTTACTCACTTTGCTGTCTCCTTGTCCGCTCTTCCCCTCATCTCCTCAGCAACGTCTACTCAAATGTAAGTCGATCAGTCTCGCCGCACGTCGAAGCTTCTGGCTTACGCATGACCTCACTGCACAGGTCATGGTCATTCGTAGGCAGAGCCGCAAGATCATCTTTGCCTCGCCTAACTTGTTGGCTTCTCTCGGGCAGTGAGTGCGAAAAGTTGCGCTATTCCCTGTTCCCTGCTGACTCTAATGTATGGTTTTTGCAGCCCAACCCACACACCGAAGGCTCAGAACGCAAATTCGCTTCTCAACAGCGACTTCCTCGCGCTCATCTCTCACCCCTGGGGCGAAAAGTCGGAGACCAAGGCCGTTCGCGAGGCGATCCGCAACGCAATCGAGCGCGGTGTTGCCTACAGTGCTCATGTTGGCCTCAAGCTGAGCAAGCGCGAATCTAAGAAGGCGGCTGCTTTGGCGAGTAGCAAGAACGCTCGTTCGGATGACCTCGGTAACGCTGCTGCCGCTGCATCTCTTGTAAAGCAAGGTCTCATTCACCTAACCCCACGTGAGTGACATGAAGTTCAAGCCGTCTCTCGACCTCAGCGACTAACATCTGTATGTCTATCCACTCAGTCAAGGACTGTCACGGTCAAGCCGAGGCATACACTGTCCTGTTCGGCTGATGTTCTTTCAAACGCACGGCCTAACATTAACGAACTCACGCCTCACCATTCGGGCGCTAAGGCGCTAGGCTCACCCAATTACCTACAGGCTTCCAACGACTTACTCCACAAGACACGTTCGAAAATTGAAACTTCGTTACCCTATTAGCCGTTCACCAATGTCCAACAGTCGCAAACTTGGAAACATTCGTCAAACTCGAAACTCGAAATACGGAACCCGAACTAAAATTCGGGCATTGCGCCAAAGTTCTGGAGTTCTTGGCGTTGCCGCTCTACGAAATTGAACTTTCTCCGTAGATCTGGAATAAAACGTATATTGCTGCTCCTCTCAGTCTGCAAATGTTACACGAATCACATCGCACACTCTCTCTCCCTTGGTCATGGCCATGGTCATAGTGCGGAGATGAACTGACATGGTCTCATTGCCGTGGTCACCATCAAGCGTCTTGGTGCTACATAGTGGATACATGCACACTCATGCAGCCGCCAGATGATCACTTTTGATGCGATTGAGCATGACCTTCATCCTGGCTCCCAAGTTGGGTTGCCCGCGCTCTCGGCCAGTCCGAGAACGGGAAGGTTTGGTCCACAGCGCGTGATGCTTCTCTCGCCTCTGCCTTGCCTCCCCTCGTGCTGCTTCCTGTTCTTCTGCTGTCAAGTGAGGCCGCCGTGATGTTCCATGCACTTGCGCTGATAATGATGTTCGTGTGTCTTCAAAGGGAGCTGCTCGCGCAGCTTTTGCCTTTCTATTCTGCAGCTGCTGACGGTGCCGGCGGTCCGGACGTGCCCTATACGCAGAGTTTTCAATATCGTTGTCATCAACAGTGTCTCCTGGAGGACCGGCGCATGCTCGTGTGCTTCGACGTGTGAGCTGCTCCGCTTTGGACAAAAGCTCGTCTGCTTCTTCCAGGGCGAAGCGCCCTTGGTCCATTTTCACTGAAGAACCTTCGTACCCGCCGACTTCCGTCGCTCCATGGCTCACTTGCCGTGACCGTGGCGGCCCCTCTGTATTGTTGCTGTCGCTCGCCTCGCGGTCGTCGTCATCGCCACTGGTGCCGACATCGTTTTCATATTGGGAGGCAAAGAAAGAATTTCTCTTTTTCTTCGATAATCTTGTTTTTGAGCTCGTCTCCGTACAAGGCCCTCGTGTTGGTGCACCAGTGCGCTCTAGATGCTTATAATACGCTTGTTTAATCTTGGCCTTTTCGATCAAGTCGGTCTTGATGCGCTTGGCTGTGGGTGTAAAAGGGGACAGAAAAGCGGGCGGTGAGCAATGCATATATCACAATGCCCTCATATCCTTCTTTCTATTCAATATCCATGAGAAACAAATGAAAGCGGAGCTATAGTCGCAACTTACCCTTCCCAAGATACGAGCCATCTGGTGCGTTGGCAGGGCCAACTTTGAAGCCCGTTCCCTTGGGCCTGCCTTTGTCCGAACCGCTTCTGATATTCTTGTTTTCTCTTGCAGCAGCACTGCCTGCATTATTTGGGCCTCCACTCTCGTCACCCGAGCGTTTCCGCTTCTGCCCTGATGTGCTAGCGCCCCTTGCTGAAGTGTGCAGTTTGAACGGCGTTGCTGTCGCGTGCTTGACCACGGACCGTTTTCGTTCTTTGGCGGACGGCATCATGGAAGGCAGAGGCGCAAGTTTTGTCTGAAACAAGCCCTCGGCCAGGCTCCTTCTTGCTTCTACTTTCGCTCGGGAGATGTCAGCTTCGCAAGTTGCGACGGTAAGAGCTACACAGCATGTGGCAGTTGCCAGTTCCAGCACCCAGCTCGAGCCTCAGGCCAAAGACTCTTGACTTTGACTCGCTCGAGGAAAGTTTGAGCGGAACGCGGAACCAGAACATGTAGTCTTAATGTGAACACGTGTAAATTCCGCCGGCCGCCGCTATTCCATCCAAGTCAACATGCAACAAGGACTTCTCTCTTCGCCTGCGCGCCTTCTTGAGATTCTACCATCTTCACCATCACCTACCTCGGTCTTCCCCATTCATTGTCCTTAGTACCCCTCCGTCCAAGCAAAGCAGGCAAGTCCTTCTCACACAAACACGCACAGGAGTAACATCTCATTGCATAAAGCACGCGCCAAAGAAAACACCCACTCGACCCCGCCGGATCACATTTTATGAGCATCCAAAATCTCGCCAGCTACGACCCCTTTGCCGACACCGGTGACGACCCTGGGCTTAGCAGTAAGCAAGCAGGTGTCGAAGCGGGTGTAGCAGACGGCGGTGCCAAAAAGAAGGCCCCGCAGGATCGGTACATTCACATTCGCATTCAACAGCGCAACGGTCGCAAGACCTTGACCACGCTTCAGGGCCTCCCCAAGGGTGAGACATCGCTGCGCAGTCTTGTGTTTGCCCCCCACTGATGCATTCTGCGTCTACGACACTGCAGAATATGACCCGAAGAAGCTGATCAAAGCCTTCAAAAAGGAATTTGCATGCAACGGAACCGTCGTCGATGACGAGGAATCCGGTCAGGTCATCCAGCTGCAAGGCGATCAGCGTCAGAAGATCAGCGTTTTTCTCGCGGACGAAGTCGGCATCCCTAAGCAGGAGATCAAGGTGCACGGATTCTAAGGGCTTCAGTGCGCTTTATTCCAAGGGTGTGCAACTTCGTTTGGCAAGTTGCAGCTACGCAGGCTGTTGAGGAATAAGAACATTGCTATGCTACCTCTAATATTGGGGCAGCCATAGCGAGCTTCGCATTCCGCTCCAACCTGATACGCACCCAATCACACCAGAAGCATCATGATATCGGCCTTACGCAATCGCCATCACCCTGTTCTGTCGTCGTCATCACCCCCAACAACAACGATTCCATTATCATCACCAACATCCAGAAACACGCAGAGACGCTGGCGTCACCCAGCAGAAAAGAGCTCGAGGTGGAGCGTAGCGCCAGAGGAAACGGGGCCGTGTGGGAGCAGCGCAGGGCTGTGGCAGCAGTCGTGGAACCCCGCAAGTTGGGAAGCATGCTGCAGCAGTCAACGCTCTGTACAGGCCCCCGGTTCATGTGTATGCGAGGAGGACGATCAGCTACAACAAGCATTGCTGGTGAATCAAGACCAGCAGCAGAGCTGGTGGCGACAGCAGCAGCGGCAGCGGCAACAGCAGCACGAAAAATTGCCCCCTAAGCTACTGTTAGCAGCATCGACTAGGACGGCACCAGGTCTGCTGGCGCTTGGACGAAGCCAAGAATCAAGACATACATTGTATACGCGCGCTGCAGGGGACAAGCGAAGTAGGCGGGCGCGACGACGGAGACCGCCGATAGATGGGACCTTCTTTGGCATCTGCGGCTATCGTTCGCTCCCGCCAATTTTGCTCGTGCGAATGTGACCATATGCCCGCCATGCCCCACAAAATGTCCTGTGGCGGCAGCGCATCCTCGACCATGGTTTGATCATCATCCTGTGCATGTACGTGTACCATTCCATCCATCATCTGCGTTCCACAAGCTAGACAACACTTCATTCCAATTCATGGTTCGGCTCCTTTCGTGGTTTAACTGTTTGCGCAACCGCATTGCTTGGCTCCTCACGGCATGAGTCGGGTCAGATGAGTTTGAGGGTGACGCTGACTCCATTGTTCGCGACGTGCTGTCGACCAACGTTCTTATGTGAGCATTTGCCATAGTCGTCTGGTGGCAATGCCTTCAAATGGAGCATCACGTACATAAGGAACTCTGCGGTCAGACAGAAAACTCGACAGCCAGCCTCGCTCCCACATTGGGAGGCTTAAGGCACGTGCCAACGCAAGAAGCGAGAAAGTGGCGGACTGGCTCTATTGAGGAGAGAAAGCAGATGGATGGGTGGTCATACAGGACGTTGTGTGAGCATGCGCGAACTGAGCTACAGGAGCTTCATTTTCTGTTCTGCTTGCAGGCAGAGGTTCAGGGAGATCAGGATTTTGCTTTGTGATGAATGAAAGGGGGATAGTTGGATGGTGCGCATGGGTGATGGTGGCGGTGGCGGTCCTTAGGTGCGTGTGCAAATGGGGAGAAGTGCGTGTCGGTGCCCTGTCGATGCCTGCCTGCCTACTTGTCTGTCTGCCTGCGTGCGTCTAGTACATGCTGTTGGCGATTAACTCCTTGTTGCAAATACGAAGCTCCACGCGACACATTTCACTGTCGACTTTCACAACGGCAGCGACGGCGGCGCAGGTGGCGGCTGCGTCGGATCCATCCCTTCTCCGCCGCTCTCGATGTTGAATCCGACACCGAAGCGAGATGTCGATTTGAGGTGGTCAATCTCGCCGCTGGAGGGTATCAGATTTCGGGTTAGAGGTCAGTATTTCCCAATCGAGTAAGCTTGCAAGGTAGAAGATCGCGTCTGGCACGCACCCGACGGTAAAGGAAAAGGTGGGCGCGAGACGCTGCTCAAATAGCGAGCTGATCTTGCCAGTGCTATCGATCTGCCCCCGGAGGGTGCTCATCCTAAAGTCCCACTTGGCGCCCAGAGTGGCGGTCGCTTCGCGCTTCTGGCCGACGGCGACGAGGATGAGGTCGGCCGCAACGTCGATGCGCTCGGCGAGCTTCTGCCAGTAGGTCGCCTGCAAGATACCCACGCCTTGCATGCTCGCCGTGGCGATCCAATCGTGATTGTTGGAGACATACTTCGCGTGGTAGCCGGTGCTGGCCTCCTCCACCTCTGGGCTGGGGCGCTGGACGACGGTCTCGATGCCGAGGGCAAAGTTGCGGGTGAGCGACTGGATGTAGTTTACCATGAAGATACCCGTGCCGTCCGTCAGGCCGGGGTTGAGCGCCTTGACATTGGCACTGTGGTCGCTGCCCTGGTAGTCGTGCTCAAGCTGCACGAATGAGCCGGGTCCACGGACGAGCTGCGCCTGCGCTTTGGAGGTGTGGCCAGCCCCCCAGCCGCGGTTGAAACGCATGGTGACTGCCCCCGAGTCATCGACGCCGCCCTGCAGGAAATGCCGCTCGTCGCCAACGACGGCGCCGAAGTTGTACCCCGCGGGGTTGGGTGCGATAGGGAATGAGAACGCGTGCGTTACTTGGAAGACTGGGTTGGTGGAGAAGACCTTAGTCAGGTCTGCCCGTGCGCCGTCAAAGAAATGGTTGGTCAAGTGAGTTGCTAGACAGGAATAAAAGAGGTGGAATTCAGCACAGAAGCGAAAGAGAGAAGACGGGAACTTGAGTTGTGGTGCGCTCACCCTTAACTTCCCGCTGCAGATGCTCGACTGTCCCTGGATTCGGCAAGCCGAGCTCTTTTCGCAACGAGTGAATCCGCGCAATGGCGCTAACGACGGGGGTGAAGAAGCCATACTGCGCATTTGCGCCTTCTGATGATGGAGTGTGCGGGTTGTGTAGGTGCGCCTCGCCGGGGTGGCGTTTCTCGTCCAGGAAAGGGGACGGAGAGGATGGGTGCAGCAGAGCCTCTGCGCCCGATGGAGGTGGCGGCGGCGGGACTGGGCTCGAATATGTTGGCGGTGTGGCCGTTTGGGAGGACATGGTTGCGAGAGTCCGCTGTTTTACCTTTCTCTCCTCTTCCTGTTCAACGCCACGTGTTGCTGCAAGGGCCGAGGCAGGTATAAAGGTACGCTCGCAAAAACTCAATGAGCGTCGATCGAAGGCAAGCGATCGCGTGTGGTTGCTTCTTCTGTCACCCAAATGAGAACGGTATGAAAGATTGAAGAAGCTGCGAGCTAACAGCGAATGGCCCCCAGACGATGCCCTTTCCCTTCTCCTGCTCGTAGAGCTGTCGAAGAGAGGATGGGGATGGACACGACGAACGATGACACAAAACTTGCCAGTCGACATAGATGCCAATGAGCTGGAGGGAATGAGAAATTCTTCCGCTGCTTTGCTGATCAGATCTCGGCAACGGTCACGTGACCAAGCCTCCAAGTCGGACAGCCTGCTCTCCACTTCTATGTACGCTTGATTATAATGCAGCACACACCCCTTTAGTCCTACAAACCCACCCAGCACACTTCAGCCATATCCCTTCCCTTTACAGCTCTCAACCATCTCAATCATCTACAGAATCTGTACCTTCGATCCTCTTCTGCCAGAAAATCCAATTTGTTTTTTGTCCCTTCCCCTGCCTGTCTACTTGTAATTTCCGCCCAACGTTGCGCCAACCAGTTATGTTCCGAGATCCCTTCTTTTCATGGTGTGCCCATCTGCATCGGCGTTCGCCATACGTCTCGGTGAGTGCGACAGGGGCCCTGGTAGCTGCGGTCCAACGGGGCCGTCTGCCTCGTCTGAAGTGATCCTGAGATAAATACTTCTATCATGTCGTATCCTTACGCCTGGGACCTCGCGACCTGCTGAAGAACGGCAGATGCAGTCCCATGGTGTATCATACATATACCGGGTGCGGTCGGTACCGCGTGTCGCGACACGTTGGCTGTCTGTATATCCCCCGCGACAGTCCATCCAACTCGCCAGCGAGAAAAGGACACACGGCGGGGATGGAAGCTCTACTTGTGTCGCTAGCGCCTCCCGAGAGATGGATGGGGATGGAAGAATGCCCACTAATGACTGGCAAAGATACGAGAGTATTTTAAGTATCTGGCAAATGAGCTTGTTTGGTTTTATTTCCTCCTACTGGCAGTTCCAGCTGTTTGCTTTTCCAATGCCCTGCTGTATGCGAGCCTTTCTTTCTTTTCCCCTCCTTTTTTTCCTACACGACGCGCACCACTCATATATCCCATAGGTAATATATAGTGCAAGCACATGACACCACCATATACATTGCAATAATTGCCCGTAAGAACGACAGCACAGCCCATTGGCCTGGCGCTCGTCGCCACCACAGAGCCTGCCGAACTAGGCAGGGTGGTGAGTACGACACGTACCCTCGCAGCCGCAGCCCAGCGGGGTTATCGGCTTCGTCCACGTCAACGTTTCCTCACACGAGGTTTTCGTCGTAATCTCCCCTTGTGCCCTTGTCGGTGCCTCACAACGCATTCTCCCGCATCGGATGCCCGTTTATCCGAGCTTACGCCATCACCACCATCGCGACGCTCTTTGACTGCCAATCACAAACCAACAACGCTGGCAGCTCAAGCATATCGTTAGTATGAAGTCCCTTTTTGGCGTCGGTGACCGCCGTCGCACGCGTGGCGGCACCAACGACGGCATGTCTGAGCGTGCCATCCCATACGAGCGCACAGCCAGCGGTAGGAATCCCCCCGTCGCTGTCGACACGCTCGGTGCTGCTGGGCATGGAGGCCTATTGAACAACGCCATGACCTATCACGGCCAAGGGGGACCGTCTCGATACGTGCGTGAACCATGTGGCGCACATTGCAAACATCGTTTGAATCTTCTGACACGCACACACCTTTACATTCACGCCCTTGAATAGTACGTCGATGGCGGAAGCAGCAGCGGTGTCGGGCCAGACGACTTTGGCTCCATCCAACATTCGCGCTCACCGACCACTTCCACCTTTTCATCTGCTCAAGGCGGCGCTCACCAGCGCAGTGGCTCGCACGCATCCTCCATCACGGCTGTGAATAGCGCAATGGGGGGTGCCGCAGCCGCGCGCTACGCTGCTCAAGTGCCTACAGATCATGCCACGCACCACCAGCAACAGCAGTATTCACAGCAGCCTTACGGCAATGCCTCCTCGGCAGCAATGTATGCCATGAATGGCGGCAGCGGCACGCGCTCGTCGCGATACCCCTCTTCGACATCTTTTTCGAATGAATCCGACGGCGGCCGTGGCTATCAAATGCAGCATCCCTCCGCCAGCAGCCCTAGCTACATTTCCTCTCCCATGACGGCCTCTGGCTCGCGGGATAGCGCACATATCAGCGCCACTGGCAACCCCAACCACTCCTACGGCCACTATACGCGCGGTTCTGCCGCCCCGGGGGGCAGTGGGTTCGGCGGCAGCGGGTCCGAGTTCCAGATTGTCCGCCCGGATGAGGCCGAGGTGGAACGCATGTTCGCCGACCTAATGGACAAGCGCGACTTCCTCAACGTCCCTGGCGGCAACCTCTCCGATGAGCTCAAGGAGCAAGCACGTCGCAATATGCTCGACTTTAGCATCGACAAGAAGTGGACGCTCGTGTACAATGACAAGCTCACCGAGTGGCACGCAGACCGTGAGCGCGAGCTCAACCGCAGGCACAAGGTCGGCCTCAGTGGCAGCGGCGGCGGGGGCGGAGGAGGCGGGAGCGGAGGAGGCGGTGGGGGAATGCAGGGCCCCATCATCACGCGCAATTCGCCTGAATGGTTCATTAAGCGCATCATGGACGGCACCGTGACCACCAAGCACATTGAGTCGCTCGCTGTCACGCTTCGCACGTGCGCCATCGGGTGGATCCAGAGCTTCGTCGAGGCCAAGGGCACACCCGTCCTGGCGAGCTTTTTGGGCAGCCTGCACGCCAAGCAACACAAGGCGGAGAATGACATTGCGCTCGAGTACGAGGTGCTCAAGGCGTTCCGGTCACTGTTCAACAGCAAGCCGGGTGCCAATGACGCGCTGGCGCAGCCCAAATGCATCTCGGGCATCGCACACTCGGTCGTTTCTGCGCATCTGGCGACGCGCAAACAGGCGGCCGACATCCTCCTCTTCCTGTGCCACTGGGAGAAACCGACAGGACATAGGTTGGTCCTGCGCGGCTTTGACGACCTCAAGACGTCGCAGGGCGACCACGGCCGCTTCGACGCCTGGTTTCGGGTGCTGGAGCAGACGATTGACGGCCGTGGCAAGATGGGGAGCCTCGTCGGCGCATCGGATGAGCTCAAGAAGATCAGCCTCATCGGGCCCCAGGCGCAGGAGTCAAGCTTGAACGAGTACGCCATTAACAACATGTTTCTGATCAACGCCATCCTCAACCACGACATCGTGCACGAGTTCGAGGTGCGCGTGCACCTGCGCAACCAGATGGACGCCAGTGGCCTGCAGCGCATCCTCATCAAGATGCGCGCATTCAAGAATCCCGACCTGGACCTCCAGATTCAGGTGTTCGAAAAGGGCGCAGAGGCGGACCACGAAGATGTCGTCGAGAGCTTCAACAGGGACGTCCTCACCGACCTTGGCGATCCTGTTGATGTCTTCAAAGCAATCGTCGAAAAAGTGCAGGGAAGCAGGGCGTATGACTTCTTTCTGTCGGCCTTGCAGCACCTGTTGCTCATCAGGCACGAGTCGGAAGGACTCGTGCACTATTACCAGCTGATCGACTCCCTTGTCACTGCTGTCGTCATGGACCGCAAGGGCGCCGTCGAAGGGTCCGACCTGACCTCCCTGCTCGGTGTGTCGGTCAACCAGGTGCTGTCGCGCTTTGCGGACCAGGACAAGATCGACGCGACTGACGCTGAGATGCAGAGGCTACGCGCCAAGCTGCAAGATAGCGAGCAAGAGCGGTCCAAGCTTGAGGCGCAGCTCAACCAGGGCACCGCAGGGCTCATGGAGAACCTGGAAGGGCAGATCAAAGCGCTAGAGGATGATCTCAAGATTGCCCGTGAGAACAAAGATGCAACGGAACAAGAGATGGAGGACACAGAAAAGGCGTACATCGACCGCATCGTGCAGCTCGAGATCCAGATCCGCGAGTTGTACGATATGCTTAAGGAGGCTGAGCTCGACGTCGCAGATGTCACTGCTCCGGGAAAAGGCAGCCTTGACCGCAAGCAGCTCGTGGATACGCTCGAGAAGCAGCTCGAGCGCAACCGTACCATCAAAAAGCTCGAAGCCAATGCACCCAAGAAGAAGCTCAAGATGCTTTCCGGCCAACCATACGCACCTGGGCAGCAAGGAGGCGGCGATGGGGCGCTCACTGTGCCCGACGCGATCGAGGAGGAAGACGAGGCAGATCAGTCGCTCTCCTTTGCCGCCGACGCGCACGATGAAGGACATCGGCTGCGCATCTCGGCACGTGTGCGTCGCAAGTCCGCGAAGCATCGCAAGGACCGCCTGCGTGCCGAGCGTGCTGATGCCGGTCTCAGCTCTGAGCGTTCCGAGTCTGCCTTCAGTAGTGATGAGGATGACAAGGATGGTAGCGACGATGATGATGAAGACGCTTCGGACAAGGAGCCCAAGAGCGCCGAGGCGGCTCGTTGGAAGATGCAGGCGACCTTGGCCGCCGGAATGGCCCGTAACACCGACCTCGAGTCGCGCATGGTCGATGCAAGGGAGACACGGCGACGAAAAGGCTCGCGCGCGAGCGATCGCTCGGACGGCCTCAGTGCTACTGGCCCGCCGCGTGCCGATGGTCGCGTAAAGGTGATTCCGGAGATGGCAGAACCGATCGAAGCGGGCGCGATTGCGATGCGCGAGACTGCTGTCCTCGGCGCTACCAATACGGCAGGAAAGGGTGGTGCCGGCGCTGCGGGCGGGTCATTCCTGGATGAGATCAAACGACGACGGGAGGGAGAATCTTCTGAGGCAGCCGCCTCAGTGGCTGCTCCTCCACCACCTCCTCCGCCACCACCACCACCACCACCGCCTGGCATGGTAGTTCCATTCAACAATACACCTGCTCTCTCAGCGCCACCTCCACCGCCTCCGCCCCCGCCCCCG